CCCCCCCCCCCGAGATGGAAGGAAGGAGCGGGGATAATTAAGACGCAGAGTGTTGTTAGCTCAGAGAAAGAGATTGGGTTCTACTGACTTGGACCATCTTGCTGTGATTAAGCTGGAATGTGGACCAATTTGGGGGGCCCACTTCAGGGGTGTGTCTGCCAACAGCCAGGGACTTTGCTGGCTCGTCTACAGTGGTGCAACCCCCCCGCCCTCCCAGGATGGAAGGAAGAAGCTCAGATGATTCAGGACAACTGCGGCGTCAGGATGGGTGTGCACCCTGGGGTCTCCCCTGCCCGGGGGGCTCCCTCACTCAGCTTGCCTCTTGCTTAATCGTGGTCCCATGTCCCTGAGCTTTGAAATGTCTCTTTGCAAAAGCTTCACCCCCTTCTTTGAAGGGTTTGTATTTCCCACCTGGGCAGAGGAGCCAGGAAGAGGGAGCCCGCCCCAGGAAGGGGGAGGGTGGAAAGCAGTGAGGAGGGAGTCAGGGGTCTTCTCTAGGGAACATCCTTTCTTCTCGCTCTCCCTTGAATTTGCAGAACTATTGGCATGAGTCCCGGTCACTGAGGTCAGTGAGGGCCTCAGCAGAGGGCCCAGTGCGGCTACTCTGACAGTGGTGCCAGCCCCCAGTCACAGCTGGCAGGTGCCACTGGATGTAGGAAAGAGGAGGCGACTGGCACCACGGATGTCCCCCCAAGGCACTGGTGGGCACTTCTTACCAAACACCACCAGGGGAAGCTCTTGCCAGACGTCGGTGAGCCGGTAGACCAGGAAGGGCGTGACGATGCCCCCGATGTCACACATGGAGGAGCAGACGAGGACGCCGAGGTTCCTGAGCAGTGGGAAACTGAGTCAGCCCCCACGCGTTTACTCTCACTTCCGTGAGGCGGGCGAGGGGCAGCCAGCTCTGCTGCTGGCTTCACCAGGCTGAAATCCAGAAGCAGCCCAGGCTGCGAGTTCACCGGCACCGGAGGCCAGGGCCCCCAAACTCACTGGCTGTTGTTTGGACTCATTCTATTGGGGTCACTTTCTGCTTGTGGAGACGGTCTCCAGGCTGGCAGGAGCGCTCGCCTGATTAGACCAGGCCCACCGGGAGGCTCTGCCTTCCATGAACTCTACTGTGGTTGTGGCATTTTAGTTAGTTATTACTTACTAGTTTAAATTTTTGTGTTTTTTCTTATTGAAGTGACATCAGTGTACAGCACTGTACATGAGCCAGGGGCACAGGATGACCCCAGATGTAATCAGCACCCCACAGCCCTCCTCCATTGCCCACCGCATGCCCACTGCCTGGCTAAAGTGTTGACGCATCACAGCACCGATGTTCCCTCCACCAGACCCAAGTCCATGGTTCTCCAAGTTGTTAAAATGTTGGCGAGTGAAGAAAATCCCCCTGGCGTCCCCGGGGAAAACCGGTTGCCAGCCTCGTTCCCATTGGTCGCGAGGGTTTCATGTTCCGTTGAAGGCTGAGTGGGGGACTTTCACTTTCATCACCTGAATTCCCTGTGCTCTTTCCGGTCACTCCCTCCTGTGGCCATTTGGCCACCCGTGTCCTGCAGGCCAAAGTGTCTGCACCTTACCCAGCTTGGAAGCGCGAGACTGAGCCGACTACGGCCTTCAAATGTTCTCTGGACCCTGTGTTTTCAAAGGCAAGGCTTCGTCGGCCGCCAGGGTGCAAGCCAGCAGGTGACACCCTGAGTCCCTTGGCGCTGAGGGGTGACGGACTCACCTGATGAACGTGGGGTACAGCTCAGCATTGACCAGGCACACCATCTCGTAGGCCATGGTGATCCCCATCCTACCCAAGCACGCGACTGTGACTTTCAGCCACTGCAGATCTGAGGGGACACAAACACGCCACTGACACACTGCACATCACCCGGTCCTCAAGGTGGGTGCGTGTGCAGGACGAGACTTGCACCCCGGAATGGGACGAGAAAACAAACTGGTTCTTGTAGCGACCCAAGGTGGTGCAGCAAAGTCCTCACATCTGTGGTTTAACTTCAGACACAAGTTTAGTACTCTCCTAATTTCAGTCTCAGTCATTCGTGACGCTTATGCCAGTTCCCACCTGGGCCACCTTCCCTGGAGAGACGTCACCCAAACGGAGCAGCAAGACACGGGCCTGCTGTCAATAACGCGTCGCTGCAGCTCACGACAAGCCCGCGCTCTTGCATGGACTTGGCTTCCTTCACTGAGACAGCATTTTAACAGAAAGAAAGGAGCCAGGTGATTGCTTATCGATACGATGTGAGTAAGCTTCTCTATCCCCAGGGCCACGCAGTGGCCAAGGCAGGTCTGGAAATGCCCGAGAGCGTTTGGCTCTGGCCTGCGCCCTCCCTGGACCAGCTGCAGGGCCTGTGGCTTGGGCGCTCGGCCTCCATGGCCATCACGCCTCTCACACGCGCAGAGGCCTGCGCTGAGCGAGGTGTCAAAGGTGCTCGTGGGCTGGCCCGGGGAGGTCCCAGACCTTTGCCCACTCTTCTCCCACCAATAAATGAGCGAGGTCTTCCTATCAAGGGGCCACAGCACACCCTCGCCTCAGCTTCGGAAGACCAGACCCCAACCTGACTTGAACTCACCATCAGGGATAAAGACCGAGGCCAGGCAGGCCGCCCCGGCCACCACGTTCGATGCAGCCCAGGGGTAGCGGCGGCCGACGCGGTCAATGGTGACGATGATGATGAAGGCTGAGGGGAACTCGACCAGGGCGGAGTAGAAGAAGTCCAGGTAGATGTTGCTGCCTGCCAGGCCCATGTGCATGATGAGGCCCTGGTAGAGCACGGAGCTGGTGAGCCTGAGCACAGAGGAGAGCTCGCGTCAAGCCAAGCGTGTGAGCCAGTCCAGAGGGGGAGGGGCGGGGGCGGCGTGGCCGCTCGGTGTCGCTGGCTGCCGCTTCCTTCACCCTGTGGGCTTTGTGCTGGTGGACCCTGGTGGGCCGTGGCCCCCGAGGCAGGCAGGACAGGTGAGGCAAACTCTGGCCAAGGAAGGTAAGAAGAGCTGGCTCATCATTTTCCGGCTTATTCAGGAAGTGCATCAGGCTGCGGCTGGCTGTTAATTGCCTCTCTCGTGTTTGTCTGCTCTGGCCACCTGCTGACCCTGGGGCTGGCCGCTCTGCCCACCTGCTGACCCCGGGGCTGGCCGCTCTGCCCACCTGCTGACCCCGGGGCTGGCCGCTCTGCCCACCTGCTGACCCTGGGGCTGGCCGCTCTGCCCACCTGCTGACCCCGGGGCTGGCCGCTCTGCCCACCTGCTGACCCCGGGGCTGGCTGCTCTGCCCACCTGCTGACCCCGGGGCTGGCTGCTCTGCCCACCTGCTGACCCCGGGGCTGGCCGCTCTGCCCACCTGCTGACCCCGGGG